TTATGATTTTTATCTGAAATTATAGCTAAGGTAATAAAAATGCTAAATTTTTTTGAACAACAGGTTTTTAAAATTTTCCAGCCTGGTTTTTAAATACCATACTGGTAATTTATTAGCTTGGTTCACGTCGAACTTTTATCTAGATATACATCCACTTAACTAGTTAAAAGTTCGACGTGAACCACTCAATTATAGCTAGTTAAAGGAATTAAGTCACTTAAGTTAAGTGACTTAACTTTACTAGAATAACGGTAAATTAACTTGCTTAATGGTAAAGTCGGCTCGGATTACAAGGACACGATTACGTAACGTAGGCATCTAAGCCAGCTCTGTTGTATTGTACCACCATTTTCATCTTCTGGCTGGCAACAACGTACTTCAACAATGCTAACAACAGCATCGAAGTAGTCTCATTAGTCTGGTTTTCAGAAATTATTTGTAATATTTTGGGTAAACACCCAGCAAACGTCTGTTTTACGAATAGTCGATATTCCAATGACCTTTGCCCTTTGTATCATCGACCAAGTAATAACGTTAAAAAGTCAGATGTGTATAAGAGACAGATTATACACAGCATGTTCAAGTCGATTAAAATAATGTTATGATAGGCCTACTAATAATTCGGATATTCGGATAATGAACACCTGCAACATCATCAATTGGACTTTAAAGGACAATGGTCATTTTATTCAGATTGGCCTTATGTTTCAGAGCAACATAAATCAAATTGACACTTTATTAAAAACAATCAATGAATTTTGTTACTCAAACGTCTTTACATTGATATTTTCAAGCTTATTAGATGAACTGAAGAAAAGGTGATCCGGAAGTAGTAGGTTTACTGTATATATTATGGCGAAAGTAAATATTTGTCCGTCTCTGAATTTTGATAGTGTTTCTGTAATAGAGCCTAAATTGGAATGGTACCTTATAGATTTATAGCCAGGGAGCAGAGCAGCTTAGCTCATTGCGTACGTTTTTCAAAGTGATAATGTATATTTTTCTTAATAATAAAATCAGATTTGTTGTATTTATTTATTGACAATTTAATCTTTTTTATTTCCGCGAAGCTAGATTTTCGCGAAGTGCATGTAAACAACACAATTGAGCGATCTAAAAACTACAAAACAGGACAGAAAGGTCCATAAAGTATACATACGTTTTAATGAAAATTAAAACAATATTTTGTTAAATGGAAGAATGCTACTGTAGCTAGCGATTAAAATAATTCGTTTTTTATCGAAGGTAAATGTAGCTAGGGCCAGGGCCTAGAGAATCTACCACTTAGATTGCGATAGAACACGCTGCTGCACTGGTCGTTGGTTCATACTGGTCGGCTAGGTTAAGTAGTGGAAACTCACCCCTTCTTTACAGTAGTTTACAATTTTTTTGAACGAATACCACTTGGTACTAGGTTCGTAAAATAAAGTAGATGTTTTATTAAACAAGCCTTTCGACCGTGTGACGTTGACGGCCTGAAACTGGCTGGCTGTTTATCTGGCTCTAACTTGGCATTGAACGCAATTAGGGGATTATCGTATCATGTTTCAAGACGGGTATATCTAGATAAAGTTCGACGTGAACCAGGCTATTGAGAAACAGCAATGCCTGCTCTGATAACGACTCTTAAATAGAGGTATTCTTCTTTGATGATTAATTGGATTATTGAGATAAGATTCTGGCAAAACCTGGTTCACCCACCCGCCTGAATGCCCTTTTAAAAGGTTTGCTGGTAAATGGGATAGTAACGGCATGCCTCATTGGTAATATTTGAAACGTTTCAACAACCGTGTGGCCTTGTGTGGTTCTGTTTGTTTAGGTGTGGTGTTTAGTAGGACCGTGCCCTAGGCCTACGTCAAGGCATTTTCGGAAAATTGGGCGTATGATCTTTCTCATTAATCATACGCTTTGACAAAAGATCCTCAAAGTGGTTGAGAAGGACCAATATGGTATATGACTACAACAAAACTATGGAATGTCTAGCAAGCAGGCAACCCTTTGTTAATATTTTAATCTTTGCGCTTGGTTGCTTTTTGATCATAGACTAGGGTACAATAAAGGTCGCAAAATACAGTATCTAGCTTTATACTGAATGGGGGTGTAACAAAATAAATAAAACATCTTTTTTAAACCAAGGTAGGCAGCACTAATGCACTTCATTCCACCTTAGCCTCTAACATTAACAAGTTCAGTTAAGTTTAGGTTGGAGTACTACTTCACCCTAACCTGCGGGTTTTACATCTCAATTAATATTTTGTTGCTAGGAACATGCTCCGAATGCACCATAGACAAAGTAAATATAAAAGGAGTCACAACAGAGTACAAGTTCTAGGCTAAACCAATTAGGCTGCCAATGGAGCAGCAGTGTTCTAGCATAGGGCCATTAAATTAGAACTTGTTAAGATACAGTAACAGCTTTTGATCACCATCGCTAACTTTGGTCTGTTACGTAACACGATGCATCCCAAAGAAAAACAAAATATATAATAAAAAAAGAAAAAAACTAATTGTTAAAAAAGTGGTGGTGATATTTTCGTAGATTGGTGTAGGTCTAGGCCCTAGGAGGAAAAAACAACTAAAATGTAAACAACACTAAAACGCTAAACTGCTTCGACCCTGCGTCAAAAGATCCAGCCGAATTGGGAGACGCAGAGGATTGTCATACAGGAGACTTAGCAGCAGTGGAAACCCCCACTGGCGGGGCGACCAAGGCGCCACCAACAGGACACAACACGGATGCCATTAAATGCGACTGAGAACCTTTGGGATCAGAGAGATCGGGGGAAATGCGTACGCCCACAGGCCGTCTCATAAAATCAATAGAGCATCTATCGCCCAGGCTAGAAGATCCCGAAACCGAGCGCAATACACTGGTAGTTGAGCATTAATTTTCGAGGCAGAAAGGTCCAGATGAGGCCGCCTGAAGTGATCGAATATCTGACTGGCAATGGTGGGTTTGTGGTGCCATTCCGTCGGTCGCAACAAAGGAAGAGACTGGTGTGAGAGAGCGTCGGCTACAACATTCAAGTGACCTGCCAAATGAGCTGACGAGAGAATGATCTCGTAGTCGATGCACCATAACAGGAGCTTCCACGTGTGGCAACAAAGCGTTGGAGTATGAGTTCCCCCCTGGCGGTTGATGTATGACACGACTGTCGTACTGTCTGACTGGACAAGTACATGACGACCCGTAACAAGCGGCAGGTGAGCTTCGAGTGAGCACTGAACCGCCCAAAGTTCCAGGATATTGATATGCGACCGAGCCTCTTCGGTCGACCAAAGGTCGGAAACGCTGTCCGAGTCGGTGTAATCCTACATTAAGTATAGTATGATAACAAGCGTACCTATTACAAGACGAATATGTGCCAGAAAAAAAGTGATTGATTGGTTACCGTATTTAAATAATTTAATACCACATATACAAACACAATGATATAAGTGACCTATATATCAAATAGTGGTAATTAATAATAACTAAAATAAAGTGATTTCATCAGAGTTATCATTAATTAGGTGTAAACGAATGCAAAACATTCTACTTGGAAATAATTTGTTTAATCTAGGCATGAATAAAAATACATGTAAATTCATGTATCAAGCTGCCAGTACTAAGTTGCCTAGTAACAATTAATTCAGTGAGAAACGTTTCCACAATAAGAGTCCAATGATACTTTTGGGAGAATAAAGACACAAAGTTTTGTACGCCGCCAATTCAAGAATGTTATCGGAGACAAAGTCTTTTTACCTGGCAATTTAGGAATGTTATCGGAGAGAAGGAAAGAATGCCAAATGCTGGAAATAGCCGACTGGTTTTGTCCTCTGTACGAACATGTGCAATGGTTCAGGAACGGAGTTGTTCACCTATATACAGACCCTTATAATATAGGGTCTGTGACCATGGCCTATACGACGTGTTGTTTTCTTGTGTATTACTTATTTTACATTAAGCTTAATTTAGACATTGATTATGATATTGTTAACTTCTGTTGTGTGTTATACAACAGTATTATTGCTTGTTTAATGTTTCTAAACTTAGTAATACAGTACACAGAATCATTGAAAAAACAGTGCCGGTCGGCAGCCTGTCAGTGTTGAGTGCCGGACAGGGCATCAATAATGTGATTTTTTGTGGCGTTTATATACTTCCTGCTTCAAATCAATCAATCAATCATTTAAGAAAGTATAACCTAGACATAATAACGAAACATAAAGCATCAAATACTGTAAGCTTTAATAATATTACGAAAAATATGATAAAAATCCACTAATTTGGCAGTATATTAATATATCAACATTCTTCTTCTTCTTCTTCAATAATGGCAAATAGAAAAATATATAGATTATCACTCCCGCCCACGTCAAAAATTTGGGAAATATTGATGCCGCATCATTTTTTTTGTCGGAAATGTCGGAAAACTTTTCTTTGACGCATGCACATTTGCATAAATGTCTACACACACATACTATACACACAATAAAATACAAAGGAAATGTGAAAAGTGATTACAATAGTTCCTATTGCATTACATGCATAGGAACTAATAAAGAATGACATACAATACGGCAAATAGATAAGTTTTCATAAACGTTTAATCAAAAAACTTCACGCTGCAAACTCATACATTCTGGGAATTTCTTACTGATTGCAAAATGGCAGCCGCTCGTCGTGCTAGCGAACACAGATTCCCTGTACTTATTTGTGGGCTTATTTGTTGAAAAAGGTGAGTGGTTAAATCATGTGAACATGTTTGTTAATTATATGTGACTGTGAAAAGAACGTTAAGGTAAAAAAATTAAGAATTAAAAGTTAGGTGCGAAAGTTCATTAGCGCCGGCATCAGCAGCACTAGAGAGAGGCCTAGGCCTAGCTTGGCCCGCCTAGGCTAGGCCTAGCTAGAGGAAGAGGACGTGACTATAGGGCCTAGCTAGGCTAGGCCCAGCTAGGCCTAGTTTTCCAGGGCACATCCTTCTTATATAAATAACAAACAGCGTAAAACTCACCTCCATAATAAATTATACGACTACAGTTTAATTTGACAGCACATTTTCTTTAATTATTTGCAGAGTAATTAGCATAAAATAAATGAACCGTTGTATGTAAATCATTCGTCACACCACAAGCACAAAACATAAGCTAAGCCAAAGATACTAGAAATACAAGCAAAGATACTAGAAATACAAGATAGAGTTCTCGCATTGTAAAAATAAGGCGGAAGTCGTGCCCAACGTAGGCGGCGCCCTTCTTTTTAACCATGCAAGTTTCCTATACTTCGTGCCCAACGTACAGGGCGCCCTTCTGTTGCTAAGTATATCCAGACGCAAAAGGCGCCCTTCCTTTTCGACTAATGGAGGAAAACTTTTTCACTAAATAAGAGTGCGTCCGGCCATGCGATTCGGCGCTGTATTGTTGTTTTATTCTTTACTGATTCATGATTATGCTTTAATTGTTTTGTGTATTATTTGGATAATAGCAACGATTTCTACCGCCACCAAGGAG